AAGTTTAAACAAAAGGAATATGAAACATAAAAAATCTATTATAAATAGTGTTATCAGCTGTGGAGAGAGTAATTTAAATGGCATTCAGTAATGCAGGTGAAGGCTGTCTGGTAGTTCATCTCTTTCATATTTGAGTTCTCAGATCATTTCAGAGATCCAATGGTCTATCCTTGTCATGTCATAGTCTTTAGCACTTTTGTGAAATATTAAAGAAATTGCTGCTGTCCTGTCTCTATTTGACTATTAAGGGTTATTGACTTTGGTTCTGTCTAAGGGTTCTTCCTTCTAAGACAAAACCCTTGAGATCTTTTGGTGCTTTCTTGCCTGCTAGCAAGGGGCACTGCCAGTTTTGCATGCTCATGCTTTGTGACTGTAGTCTTATTAATCTCCAGCTGTGCAGACACAGTTTTGCCTACACAGACATTCAAGAGACAAGCTTTGTTCTAAACATGGCTATGGGATTTGTTAGGTGAAAAGAACTTCTGTTTTGATTTGAATATCTCATTTCTTCTGTTTTGAACTTTGAGGCATGCCTCATTTTCAAATGGAGATTTTCATTATTTTTAAGATCATAATTAATTCTGAAGCTGTATACACTTCACTTAATTTGAAAGGTTTGGACTTTTCCATAAATCACAGAAAACAACTGGTTTCTCAGCTGTTACAAAACAGGAACCAAAATCAAACCCTGCATTGACTACTATGACTTTACTCTAAATACCCTCAAAGGGTATCAAATCATATCATTCATCTTAAAACATACAAAAAAAAAAATACTGATCAAACAGACCAGCAAAATGCAGCCATTTGTAAACTGATCAGCTGTCCTAGGGTGACGTTATGGTGTTTGTATCTCCAATCGTGTGTTCTATGTATGTTTGATATTATGTTCTGTGCTTTCAGAACTGACTCTGAAAGTGAAGGTTTGTTTTGCCTTGTTATCGCAGGTTCACCTCCCCTCATGGTCTGCTGTCTAGAAAAGGCTAGTGCTGGCTGGCTGGCTTTTGCTTTACTTGCTTGCTTGCTTTGCTTGCTTCTGCTTTCACCTTTGCTTCCTAGTTAGTTTAGCTAAGCAGTCCAATTCTTTCCCTGGACTGTTTCTTTTCCTTTCCTTTTTCTGAATACCATCCAACCTGCTCTGGACTGGGACCTGGGAAACACCGAGGAGCACCGAGATCCTGCATTTTGTGATCTGCAGCAGCCATCCCCAGTGCTGGAGAGCAATCCCCAGCGTCCAGACCCGGGTGACCACTGCCAGGAAAGACTTTCTGGATTTGTTCATCTCTTCAGAGTGGTGAAAGAGTTTTGTTGTCATCTGGTGTTGTTAATTTTCTTTTTGGTTCTGGGGGGTGCTTTGTTCATTGAATAAACAGGTTCTTTTTCACTTTTCTCAGAGAAAATTTTTTCCCGAACCAGGTGGATGGGGAGGGGCCGTGGGGGTTTGTTTTCTGGGGGCTCCTTCAGGAGGGTTTTCCCCAAATTTGCCCTAAACTAGGACACCAGCCAATGAAATGCACAGAAAGAGCTCTGCTTGCTAGGACAATGTGAAACATTTGTCATTCACACCAGAAGCAGAATCTGTTCAGGATTCAAGGATATATACTTAGTACTGATATCAGATCAATATCACTAGAGTCCAATGAAGATGAAAGCCTCTTACTGAAAATATAAATTACCTTTTAACATCAAGATCTCAAGTTATATTAAAACAACACTCTTATCTTCTCCTACCTTCAGACAATATGGCATTTCAAGAATACTTCACATGAAACACAATTTAAGCAGGGAATCAGAAACTGAAACATCAATCCATTAGGCTTCCTATTTCTCAGGAAGTCTTAAGAGTGGAGAAGTTCAAACTTCACATAATATGTTGCAGATGAAGATATCACAATGTCATCCCCTCTAATTTAAATTTCTTTCCCTATTTGTCTTGAGGCATTGTAACTGCTTTTCCCAGTGTAAAGCCTGAAATCCAAATGATTCTCTATGGCACTGACACTGGATTCATAGAAACATAGAATATCGGAAGTTGAAAGGATCATCAAGTACAATTCCCTGTTTTTCACAGGACTACCTACTACTAAATCACCTGGCTAACAGCATCATCCAGATGCTCCTTGAACTCTCTTGGGCTTAGGGCCATGACCATTTCCATGGGGAAGCCCGTGCCAGTGACCAACCACCCTACTGGGTGAGGAACATGCAATCTGAAGTTCCCCTGGTGCAGCTTTATTCCATTTGCTTGTGTCTTGTTGCTGGCCACTAGAGACAGGCACCTTCCCCTTTGCTGCCCCCACAAGTAAGTTCTAGACTGCAATGGGGTCACCCCAGCCTTCTCCAAGCTGAGCAAACCAAGTGATCTTATATGCTCTTCATAAGTCTTGGTCTTATGATCTTTCACCATGTTGGTTGCCTGTTGACAGACTCCAATAGGTCAATGTGCTTCTTTTGAGGCCCCCAAAACTGCACTCAGCACCCAAGATGGGGCTGCAGTGTAGAGTGGGACAATAATCTCCCTCAACCAACCAACAATGCTGTGCCTGATGCACCCCAGGACACAGCTGGCTCTTTTGGTTACCAGAGCACTGCATAGTCAATTTGCCACTGAACCCAGCTCCCCAGAGCTCATTCTGCAGGGTTGCTTTCCAGACTCTTTCTCTGATTTGTGCACACAACCACGCTGACCTGTCCCCAGTGGAGAATCCTGCACTTGCTCTTATGGATCAAACTGCAGAAGTTTGTGGGGAACTGCTGCCCGTGGGATGGACTCACAATGGAGAAGTTCATAGAGAGCTATTTCCCTTGGGAGGGACCCCACACTGGAGCAGGTGAAGGATTCCTTTCCCTGAGCAGTGGCAGAAACAACCCAGGATAAACTGGTCATAACCCTTATTCCTTATCTCCATGCCCTGCTGGATGAGGGGAGGTGGAGCTGGGAATGACAGAGGAATGGGGAGTATGTTTTTAAGATTTATTTTACCTCTATTATCCTGCTCTGATTTTGTTAGTAATAAGTTCAGTTAATATCCCCAGTCTGAGTATGTTTTGCCCATGATGGTATTTGGAGAGTGATCTCTCTCCCAGGCCTTAATCCATTAAATGTTCTTTATATTTTCTCTCTCCTGTCCAGTTGTGGAGAGGATTGACAGAGCAGCTTTGGTGGGTACTGGGCATTTGGCCAGGGTCAACCCCAGTACACTGCTTATGCTGTTCATATTAGTATAAAGGCATTTCAAATCCGCTCAGGTTTACTTAGCACATCATTGAGCAGACTGATGGACCTGCTAGCACACCATCCCACAAACATGGCATACTACCCCCAGGCTTTTCTCTAGTGAGCCTGGTTTTATCCCTTTCTCCCTTCAAATATAGTTTAAAGCTCTTTTAATGACACCTATTAACTATTGGACAAAGATCCTTTTTCCCCTTCAAAAAAAGATTGTCCCTAAAGCATCAGCAAAGGAACATTACAGAAGTTCCATGAAAGTCTGCCCACATTGCAGGTAGAAAAATGCAACCAAGACACCTGAAACACAGTAAAGGACTGACACTGGATCCTCTGGATCTCAGGCCAGTTCCTACCATAAGCAAACTATTCCTGTCTTTTGTTTACAGTAAAGTACCTAAGACAAATTGGTGCAATTTTTTTTTGTAAAGACTACTGGGCCTTTACTAAAAAAAAGCCACATAAACTAATTTCTACAAGATAACAGAAAACCAAATTAGGTCTGGAGAAGCTAGGCTGTTGAAAAGTAGATCATAAGTTGAAAACTATCACCACATGTATAAATGCAAGCCCCCCCCCCCCCCCCCCCTTGTATCAAACCTTTCTTCTGCAACAACTTTGTGAATTGTAGCAGTGGATTCTCTGAACTGTTTTAATGAATGAATATAAGGGAGCCGGAGGGAGCTCATCAGCAAAAAAGGATAGGCAATTCCCAGACACATTTGAAAGCCTAACCTAGTATTCAACCAGCCAAAATATCTATACTGAGCAAAGAAAAAATATTTCCCAATTAAATGATATTTTATGGTTTTTCAGTATCTCATGAGATGTGGAAATAGATCCTTATGAAAAACTTTTGCATCAAAAATCCCATTTTATTTTCTACCAATGTGATTTCCCATTGTTATTTTTCTTGCAGTCTGCATACATTAAGGCACATTAATAAAGGGAAGAAGCAAGGCAGCCTGTCAGATATTTCAAAACATACCATGGAAAATGATTGGTTTAGGATGAGTGAACAAAATCTGTTTGTTCAGCAAACTTAATTTTAGCTGAGAACCAAGAAATGTTTGTATTGTATGGACATATGATAAGTTAACTGGGCTCAAAAGTACACCATACAGCTGGGCTTTTGGGACAGCAGAAAATGTTTTGATGCTTCATGGCTCAACTCTACCTTTTAACGTGAATGAGGAAGCATTACAGTTATTCTGAGGGATGACAGATTTTTAGTTTGCACATTCTCTTGGACTTCTGAAATGCTGGGAACAAAAACACCCATAGTTAAGGCTTCAGGGTAGAAAGATAGTCTCTACAAGCAGAGAAGCTAAGGTGAGTTTGAATGAACGCAATAAAACAAGATGATGTACTTTTAAAAATTTAACTACTAGCTCTTCCAGTGAAAGAACACTTCACTCTACTAAACTGTTATAGGGCTTATAAACTGGTATTTTCAGGGTTTTAATTCCTATAAGGAATTTCTTGGGAAGTTACTGTAAATTTATGATTTGTATTCTCTAACAGGTCCACAGGAAAATAAGAAAACCCCTGTAAGATACCACATCCAAATTCTCTCTCACACAAGGATGGGAATTGAAACTCAGCACAGTTTAAGAAGCTTGGGAAAAATATTCAGAGGATGCTGTAGGAAGAGTCAGAAAACAACAAAGGTTTGTGCTCCCCTTCCCTACCATTTTGCTGCCATTGAATTCCAGCATATCCACAGAGCCTGAAAAGCTGACTTGCATGACAATATCCTAACATGAATTACCTTTTCAGTAGGTTTACCGTCTCGGGAGGTGATGTTTCTCCTTCTTTCCCAAACTACCCCTGGACCTTCTCATCCTACTAGCCCATTGGAGACCGTTCCACAGAGCTGCCTGGACCCCCCCACAGCATCCACCCTGTGGAAGAAACACAGATTGAGAAACTGTGATGCAGCAATTAAATCTTCTCTAGACATAAATTGATGACATTGAGAGAGGATCTAGAGCTGTCACACACAAGCTGAGAAGGGAGGGGAGTTGTAAGATTACCATGTCCCCTCAATATATGGCAGAACTGCCGAAGGCACAGTTATTTCAAGAAGACTTTTAAGGAATAAATATAAACAGAGATTTCAAAGGCAGGAATTAGTCAATAATGTGATCACCTAATCTTGCAGATGACAACCTTGCTCTGCCTGTTAGAAATGCCTGTATTTTTGCATACTTAGCAGTAATAGGAATGGGGTGGTTACTTCTGTATTTCTGTAATGAGTAGCTTCATCATACACCATAGAGGACAAGGTGGTGGAAATTAGGCGTTTTCCAGCCATTAGTGACAGTGAAATGTGTCTTTGTACACCTCTTGAGGGCAAGGCATTCCTTCCAGCATTGGAAACTTTCTTCTTCTAGAGTGCACACCATAGTAAAAATTAAAATTGGAAAAAATTTTAAAAATCAATTAATTTGATAAATAGTTTTCAATTTATAGCCTCTATATACTGCATTAAATTTATGTATCAGCAATAAGTAAAGATTATATATAATAATCATGCACAAAATTTCATAACTTCAAAACTATGTTTTTTGTTTATGACAAAAGACAATTAAGTAAATCGTGACTTCAGATAACCCATAAGTCACTGATTCTGTTTTTCAAAGACCTGGCTGCTTTCTATTCCATTGGCCTTGGCTGCCTAGCAACCTCCACAGAGCTTTCTTAGTCTATACTAATTCTGGAGTTTTCATTTATATATTTATTTAAAAGAATGTCTATAAGGAGGATACAGAAACAAAGAGTTGTTTGTTCCTTCCTTCTAACAGTGAATTCTAAACATGTCATCTCAGTGTCTCAGTGAAGGACACAGTCCTCAATTTTGCAAAGAAGTACCTGCCTCCTTGATTTTGCTTGGGAACTAAGCAAATCTCAGTTTCTGTTAGACAAAAGCTTAGTCTCTGTAGGAAGCTACTGATATAATAGGCACTGGTATTTCTTTCCCTCCCTGTTGGTTTGATTCATTGATAAGTTTTTTTTCACCCTGGATTCCTAGGTGCTTATGTAAGGTTACTGTGCTCATGACGCCTGCAGCTCTTATTTAATATGCTACTGCTCTGGGTCACAAACAGTTCCAGCATCAACCAAGCTCTAGAGGGAAACGGAGATTAAATCTGATCTGCTGTGTCTGTGACTCAAAGCAGGACAATATGGAAAGTTTGGATGGGACTTTTTCTTTTAATAAGTAGTTTGACACAGGATATGGACTGTCTTTCTCTGAGCCAGCCATCAGCTCTGCATGGAAAAGACTATTTCCTCAGGGGTTTTTCTGTTGCTTTGGTTTTTTGGTTTTTTTTTTTCCTTCATTATAAGTGCAAATGGGGATGTAATAGAAAATATCTCTACGCTACATTAAGAAAATACTTATTCTCTTGCCAGTTCTGTTCAACCAGCAATTTGCAAATACTTTATGCCCTTATCAACACAGCAATCTCCTCCAATCGAAAAGAAGGGAAAAAAAAAAGAGAGAGAGAGAGAGAGAAGGGGAAAGTCAAATATGTGCCCTGAAGAGTTTAACAGGCTCCCAAAAGAAATGCCAGGTATTCATAGTCTGCAGTCACATAGTGGAGATATAGGGTTTGTGTCTCACTACTTCCAATCCCGAGCTCAGATGGAAGAGCTTGCACTTATTTCTGGATCAAACTGAAGCCTGAAACACAACAAATCAATATGCCTTAAGATATCTCAAAAATACCTTATTCACTTGATTCCATTTTTTATTGATTAAGTCGACCTTTAGCTATGTTTTGTCCTTAAAGGACACGCCGGGGATCCATGACAGAACATAAATCTGAAACCAGATCTTCTAATTTCCACTCAATTTCTTACTAACAGAGCTACATACATAAAGATTAGGTTGTTGTAAGCTTGTAGGATTATGGAAGCATTTTTAAATCTTGGTGTTTCCATATACTTATACATCAGTAAAAATTTACTCCCAATTCAATAGTAGGAAAAGAATATTTTTAAAATATCTCCTCAATATTGTAACAGGCAATAAAAATATTGGTATATTGGTTGGGTGGTATATTGGTGTCCAATGAAATAAAATAAGAGCAACAACATGAATGATAGGAATTATTCAAAAATAACCTGCTGGTTAAAAGGGTGACATTTTGTAGAGCAACTTATAAACAGTGAAAATACTCATAGAAACTAAAATAGGCAAAATTATTCAATAAACAGGAGGAAGAAAGTTACTGGAAGTAAACAGAGATCTACGATTTCTTTTGTCTATTCATAGGCTAACAATAAACAACTTTTTAGTTCCTTTCCCTCTGTCATTCCACACAATAATGTTAATTTGTAGTTAGCAGAAAATATCTCAATCTGTACTCCTCTGAGTTATTGTAATACAAATAAATTCAAAAGATAATCCAAAACTAAGTAGTTGCTTATTGAAAATGAGTTTCCATATGTATGTTCATTTTTCACAGAGCATGATTATTAAAGCAAAACTTGAGCATGTGGTGTTTCCTCCCCTTACAAAGTATGATCACAATTACATATGTTTTTAAATGTTAAGTCAAACTCTGAAAATAAACCTACTGAAGAGTAACAGAACCACAGATTTACATGTCTGTTTTCTCACTTACTTTTTTGAGAAGTCTGTTTTTAATAAGTTCAAGTGCATGTAAACAGACAATAGAGAAAAAGACTTCATGCATTTTTATTAAAATAAATATATAATAGGGTTTTCTACAGAATGAATAAAATTGAACCATGTCAAAGCAGCTAGAAAAGGAAATTCAACCAGAGAAAATTAACTTTCTCCAGGTATATGGAAAAATAAATTGCATGCAGTCCCATCCAAAATTTCAAAGACTACAATTAGGTACTAAATCTACTACATCTACACAGGAAAACCTCACCTGCCATGCACTTATGCTCCCAAAAGAAGAATATACCAAAAAGAGAGATAATCCTCCCTCCCTTCCTTTCATTCTTCCTTCCTAAAGAGAGAGATGCAAAATGCCTTTGGTTTCTGGATAGGGACTACAGAAAAATTAAATGCTAGGGATGGTTTGGAAAAAGGTAATTACAAAGGAAATGAAGCTTTAGTGGGAAAAAGAGAACAAGAATATTATCATCAATATGAAAGTATAATCTTTGCTTGAATAACTAACTCACCAAGGAGAATTGCAAGCTACCTTTTCAAAACAATCAATAGTATTATTCCAACACTCAGCTCCTAATTTTAAATGCACTGATTTACTTCAGACTTAGGCCACTAACTGATCAAAATTCAATCTAAAATATTTAAATATTTTCTAACAATTCATTATGGCAATAAGTAAGAAAAACTCGTTGAAGTTATAACCGGGTTTAGTAATTGTTCTCAAAGCAGCCTATTTTTACAGATTGCAAAGGGATGAAAAAAAGTTGCAGTAAAAGGAAGATTTCTTAAAGAAAGACTAAACATAGTAACATATGCTACCATGATGACAGTAAAGAACATAAATAAGCAGAAGAGAAAACACAGTTACACAGTTCCTGCTATTTTTAATAAATATCACTAACAGGGTAACATTCAACTGCCAAAAGAAAGGAGGTTGTTATACTCTGTTACTACGTCTGGCCCTGAGTTGCCATTCCAGAAGAGCACAAATTTCTTGTAGATTCAAGGCCTTATCTGCCTGCTCCTGAAGTCTTGGATACCAAAGGATGTGTGAAATAGCATTAGATTCTTTTATTTATGAATCTGAGTCACTTGCAAGCTGTTAGTAGAAATGTGTGTGAGCTTTGGGTACTTACATGTTAAATAACAAGAGTAAAACCAATAAAACAGAAAATCATAGTGTGCTATGCCAATGTAAGATTTTCACCTGAAGGTACAAAGAAAAAATACTAGAAAGTTCCTTAAAGAAAGGTGTCTGTATACAAATTCTATACCAGTAGTAAATATGAAGAACTTAGAGCTAAATCTCACCTCTGACTGCTGACTCACTGTGCAGTAAAACAAGGTACTGGTGCTTCCTTGATGGTTAGAAAAGATGTTCTGACTAGCTTTCATTCCCTTGAGGTTGTGACATATTCTACTATTTCAGAGATCTATTTTATTTAACATGCTTAAAAGAACAGAACCTGTTTTAGACTTCAGAATTGACCAAACATCCAAAAACTCTGATTATTTATGGCCAAGGTCATAACTACATTTTTTCCTGATCTTTTATCTTAGTTAAACCCTATGTAAGAATTATTTTCCTGTAAAACCTGTATTTTCTATACATATTCCACTTCTCCTTTTTCTTCTTTCAAGAATGCCAGATGGAAACAAACCAAAGAATATTTGTATGCCTGGTATTCAAATATTTTTATATTTCTGCATCTGAGTTAAGCAGATGAAAATTAGGCAATTCTGCATGGCTATCTCTTCAAAACCCGTTCAAATAAGGCATACTTTCTAAATTCTAAAATAATTTTCTCTCTGATCTGCTGCAGCAAAGATATTCACTCATACACTATTGATTGGAAATGTTTTTGTACATCTAATCAATAAACAAGTTAATATGTGTTAAACCAATTTTCTAGACTATTTGTCTTGCTCAGCCTAACTAATACAAAGCTGTGAGTGATTCATTTCAGAGCACAAGTACAGTATGAAAAGCAGACTGGTGTCTTTGTGAGTATCTGTGTATGCTTATAAACACAAAATGTCATTAAAAATATTTTCCCCTGACAATATTTCCCCCATTTTAAGATCATTTCTATTGACTCGTAATAATGGTCTCCAGATACTCATCTGAAAAATGGCTGTTTAATTTATTTTTTTACTGTGAAAGATTTGACCTGGTTTGTTCATCTATAAATACACATTTTTCTGCTATAGACACAAATATGCATTTGTTTTAGCTTTCATCCCTGCTGTGTTTGTATAACACAGTGAGATATTCACAAACAGAAAGAAAAGAGATTGAAGAACATTCGATAGTGTTTTCTAGCATTTTAAATACAGCAAAAAAAGAAAATTAGTGCCCACTTCATCAAGTGCTAAATTCAGTATGGCTGAAATAAAACAGAGAGTCGCCAGAGAGAAAAAAAATCCTCATTTTAGGTAGAAAAACAACTCATGCTGTTGACAAAGCAATAGGATGAGTGCTACTGAATTCTACTGAACTGATAATTTTAAACTTATATTGACCTTCCCTACCAGCATATTTGATGTAGTTCCTGCTTAGCAATAATTATAAGGAATTTTGCTATACCATACCAAAAAATAATATAATCAAAGGAGTCTGTGAGAGTCTTTATCTCTACAAAAAAAAAAAAAAAAAAAAAAGGAAGGTGACAGTCTTAACAGATCTAGATCCACAGAAAAATTCAGAAAGCAATTTTGAGTTCCAGAGTCCTATTTTAATCACAGTAAGAAGACACAAGTAATTATTTTTGAAATGTAGCTAAACCCATTTTTTTTCTTTTCAAAAGGAAAACTAAAATTCTCTATTGTTATTATTTATGTGAATTATTCCTATTTTCTATTCTTCTGCTGGTTTATATGTTGCTTATATCAATATTTTACAAATCTTTCACCTACTTTATACCATTTTGTCGAGTTTTCAATCATTAATTAGAAGTGAATTTATGTAAATCAGTTTCAGAAACAAAGCATGGAAGACAAATGGCTGGAACTAAATAACCCTTAAGATCTGTTGTGATCCAAACAAATTTATAATTCTGTTACATTAAAGGAATTACAGGATGTTCCTACTCACTAGTGTATGTGGATATTTCCTAGTCACAATTCATTTCCCACATCAGAGAGTTTCCAAATACAGAAAATTTCAATTATATTAATAACGCAAAAGACCTACCCCCTTATTTAATCTATTTTCTGCCCTTTGTACGCTCAAGATTTTGTGAAAGAAAGTGACATAATTTGCTGGTTTTGCACATGGGGAAAAAACTTATTCCCTGAGTTATCAAAAAGAAGGATTTCAAAAGGTGCCTGCTCTGTAGCTGAAGAACTTCTTTCAGAAGATTTGAAGAATACGATTTGTCTTATACAAATGAAGAACATGATTTATTTTCAGTAAATGTGCATAGTCACATATCATTGTCACTCTTGAGGTGAACATAAGGTGGAGACGGACAAGCAGGGACTGAAGCACACCTAATATTATTCCCTGCAACATACTGAGTAGAAATAGCTGAGTCTTGCATTGCTGGAAGGTGGTATGCACTATTACCTGCAAAAGATCAGGAGAAAATCCCCAAATTGTTATTGAAAACTGAAAAAACCCCACCAAACAATTGGTGTAGAGCCATTAGAGATTAAAGATCAAAATATTTTGAGTGCTATTGCAACAGGATCGTCTACTAGCACAAAGGAAAGCAGTTAAAAATATCAGGTGCTTTCTTATCTGCAAATTGTTCATAAATTAGTGATGTATTTTTCTGCCAATAAGGATATTTTCAAAAATTTTCCGAAAATAAATACAGCTAAAAGCAATTAAAACCTATAAATTAACACATTGGTTATGTATCATTGTGCATATAGTACAATGCTGATGGTTCTGATGGGATGATCCAACTTTAACAGCTAGAAAGAAGCAAGAAAAATATTTGAACATTTCAGGAAAAGAAACTCAGGCTTTAAATATGAAAAGGACATAAAAATCGCCTTTTCTCCTTTAAAAAGAAGATGCTTTGGAAATTACATTCAATTTAAAACAAGTTCTCTTCCCTCTGAAAAGTAAAATGGGAATAGTCACCACATCTCTACCAGGAACATTTGCTTCCTGTTACACTGATTACCAAGATGTGAAAAATACCATCAGTTCCAGCTCAGTACTCCAGTTTTCCAAAACTGTCAAAACCGTATTCATGCAAAAGAAGTATCCACGCAAGCATAATGAAACAATCTTACAGAAAATGGCACAAACAACCACAGGCACTGGTGCCCAGTTTATGAACCCTCATTAAGATACATGAACTCAGCTTGTACATTTTTCTCTCCAAAACACTCAGTGCCCATTTTCACACTGAAAATTTGGAATCAAATAAAGTTAGCATCCAGTAGGCCTAATTAAGTCTCAGAGCAGACTGAGACTTTGCAAGCAGGTTACCTGGTTAAACATTTTAGAAATATTTGCAAGCAGAATTTTATAATCTCAAGTATTAATTTCTATGGTGTGGGAATTACAGTTGTACCTTCATTATCTATACATTAATACCACCTTTTAATTGCACATAAAGAAGGGTGAAATATTGTAGAAATAGCCTTTTAACCTTTTTTTTAATTCTATACTTAAATTTAGTCTACTTTTTTAGATACAGTGCAATGCATGTGTAATAATCCATAAAATTTTATTTAACATAATTAAAAGTATGGAGTACCCACACATCCTAGGAAAAAAAGAAGATTGGTTATTTAAAAGACCAGCAGTGCAAACGTTCTTCTTTTGCATATATCTAGTATGTAAAGTAATTGAAAGGAACGAGGGATACTGAGTTCAATTCCTATTCAAGTTTGAACTGAAGTTCTTATAGAAAAAAAGTTTATGTCATAGCACTAAGGTTGAAAAAGACCTCTACGATCACTAAGCCTAACCATCAATGAGCATCACCACAATATTCAGCATAAAACCATGGCCTCAGCGGCCAAAATCACATGTCTTTTGAATGCTTGCAGGGATGGTGATTTAACCATTTCCCTGGGCAGCCTGATTCAATGCTTGACAAGCCCTTCTGGGAAGAATATTTTTCCTAATATCCAGTCTAAACCTCCCCTGGAACAACTTGAGGCTGTTTCCTCTCTTCCTGCCACTTGTTATCTGCGAGAAGAGACAAATTCCCACCTCACTACAACATCTTTTCACGTTGTTGTAAAAGTGATAAGGTAGACTTCGTGGCCCTGAAGCAGAACCATGCTTGCTAGCCATGTAAAATTTCTGGGGACAGAAGGAAAAGAGGGAGCACACAAGGTGACCATCTGGACATGGTAAGATAGCAC